TGACATATTTCTTGTTTCCTGTTATTAAACTGGTACAGCTAACCGGGTACATGTCATAGCTTCATAGACCCAGTGTTTAGTTAAATGTTCAAGTTCCTTGCTTTTCTCTGCAGAGTGAAAAGGTAAATTTCTAGCTTTTAAGGGATTTGATGGTTCAATATCTGAATATGAATGAAATCACACTGGCTCCTTCCAGCAAGTTACACCACCCTGAGAAAGCTGTCCATGGATCTCTATTGACAAATGGTTCTAATAATATATATGCCTCAGACACTTCCAACGATTGTAAACCTGTTTATTCCAAAATCCCTCATCACCCTAAGACATTAAGTAGATTCTACTCAATATATAAAGCATTATGCACACTTACTTACAGTTGCCCAAAATAAAACAAAAGGGTTATTCTAACTTTAAAGAACGCATATGGGTTTTAATAGCCTTCGTACCATTGCAAACATTTTGAAGAATATTTCATTGTCTTCCATCTTACAACCTCTTGTCTACGAGAAGCTGTTTTCTTGTTTTGATTTGTTTTTGTAACGAGTTGATCTGAAAACATATCACATAAGAATCCCTAAAACTGACAGCCCTAAAAAGTGATTCCCAATCCTGGGGAATATCAGAACCACCCAGGGAATATATTAGTTTCTTATGGCTGCTGTAACAAATTATCACAAATGTAATGGATTAAAACAACAGAAATTTATTTTCCTACAGTTCTAGAGGTCAGGAGTCTGAACTGAGTTTTACAGGTTAAAAATTCAGGTGTTGGCAGAGCTGGTTCCTTCTGCAGGTTCCAGGAGTGAATCTGTTCCTTGTCTCTTCCAGCCTCTGGTGGCTGCCTGCATTCCTTGGCTTGCAGCTGCATCACTCTGATATCTGCCTTCAAGGTCACACTGTCTTCTCCCCTTCTGTAGTTTAATCTTCCTCTGTCTCCTTCTTATAAGACTTGTGATTGCATTTAGGGCCCACTTAGATCATCCTGGATAATCTCCCCATCTCAAGACCCTTAATTTAGTCACATCTACAAAGTCTGTTTTGCCACATCAGGTAACATTCATAGGTTCCAGGGATTAAGACCTAGACATCTTTAGGAACCTTTATTCAGTTTAACATAGGGGGCTTTTCCAAACTGCACTGACCTCTAGAGATGTCTCACTCTGCCCAACCCTTCCTCTCAGGAAGTATCACCACTACTGGAAACCTGGCAGCCACTGCTCTGAGAGCCTTCCCATTACTTAAAGTGGGGGTGGGGTGTGGGGGTGGGGGGGAACCTAAGAATCACTGTCTAAAATATAAGTAACATTGTCATCACTGAGTGGTTAGATTAAATCTCTGAAATTTTAATCTCTGAGCAATGAGTGATTCAATTATCTCATAAAATACATCTCAATATTTCATATTTTAATAATTTCATAAAATATGAAATGATTGAATTGAGGCCTCTGTTCAGGGCTTTTTCCCAGGATCTCTGTCATGATAAGAGCTCCTGAGCATAAAATCCCCACAGGGGTAGACAGCTGACACAATCTAAATGTGCCTGAGAACAGATATCTTAAGCTTTGTAGTCATGTTTCAGTTGAAAGATTGGATTTAAATATTTGCAGCTAGTCCTTAAAACACATTGAAACAAAAAGAAATTTGTACAACACCAAGCTGAAATAAATACACTTCATTTTCCATTAAAAATTTATATTACTGATAGACAAAGTTTATCACAAATTTATCCCTAATAATCTAATACTGCTAATAATTATTTAATTAGCTAAAGAACTGCACAGATATATTGTCTGAAAGGAAAAAAATAAAATAAATACTCTGCAATTGTACTATAACTCTTTCTGAAATAATCACGATCCTTTTTCACAAGGCTGTGGTCTCTTTTGCCTCTGCTTTTCACGTCACCTCATTTTTCTCTAGCCCACTTAGCTTCCAGCTTAAGACTCCAACTATCTACACTTTGTTAGAAATACTTTGCTCCAGCCATATCTAAGGTGCACTATCTGTTACTGGCTTTCCATTTTAATGGTGATGGAACTCTGTTGCATATAGTCTTAATTAACTCTCACCAGGTAAGCTTCTTTCAGATAATTATACTGATCAGATCTCTCCAGTGGCTTCTCCTCATCCCTAGGATGAGTTCAGACTTCTTACAAGATACAGGAGGCCCTCTGTAATGGGGTTCTTGCAGAAACCCAAACTATCTTTCACCACTCTCTTCCCTGGCACACCAGGTCTTAGCCTAGCACATCCACCCAGAGTATGCCAGAATAAATCATAATTCCACACACTCTTTATCTAAAATGTCCCTCATCAACTGTCAATATCTTATTCATCATTAAAACTCAGTTTGGGGCTGGCCCCGTGGCTCACTTGGGAGAGTGCAGCGCTGATAGTGCCGAGGCTGCGGGTTAGGATCCAATATAGGGCTGGCCAGTGCGCTCACTGGCTGAGCATGGTGCGGGCAACACCAAGCCAAGGGTTGTGATCCCCTTACTGGTCAAAAAAAACCAACCAACCAAACAAACAAACAAAAAACTCAGTTTGGGGCCATCAACTCAGTCCAATTTTTCTGAAGCACTCCTTTTAGTCTCTGGCAAATCCTTCCTCTTTTATGTTCCTACTGTTCTTCACACATGTTGGGGCATTCGTGCACTTCCATTTACACTTATTTGCCAACATTTCTGTGTTTCCCTGTTGAAATGTGCATTTCCATATCATATCACAGGCATTTTTTTTATCCCCAGTTCCTAGCACAGTATGGGAACCTTCTAGGTGATCAATAAATATTTGCCAAGGGCTGAATAAAGAATTTTTCCTCGACCCTCTTCCTGCTTTGAACCTGTTTTAGAAAACATTTGGTATGATTCATTTACACCTAGGTATAAATACACTGTGTAAGTTTATACTCAGGGCTAGCTGCTTTTTAACTTATATTTCTAAATGCAAAATAAAGGCAATTCTCTATTACATGTGTCAAAAATTAATAAGAATTCATGATGTTTTTAGGGATAGATAGCCTTCCTGACATCTGACGTTACACCATTAAAGGGCCCCTCTATGCCTTTCATAAAGATAACAATGATTAACAATCTGCAGAGTCACAGGATTGGAATGGCTCTAGTCTCATCACCTGATGACTGGGTCTCTTTTATAATGTTGAAAATGATGGTCAAAACCTGTATTTGAGCACATCTAGTAACCTCCCAAAGAAACCCATTTCAGTTTTGCATGTGTCTTTAAAAAAAGAAATCATACTTTGACACTTTTCAGCCCTATGGTCATTACTAAAGGAAATTACAAAGTAATGAAGGAATGAAATCCACAATTGAAATGTTTAAATTAAAAAGCCAAGGAGCACAAATCATATTAGGGAACCTTTTGCTTTTTAATTCAGGATTCAAGAATGCTAGCCACCCTAAAATAGCCATATATCTAGATTAATCAAGATTACAACAGGAAACTGTTTGAGCATAAATTGCTATGGCAGGAAACTGATTAGTTCGGCAAAAAGACAGGATGCTTCTTGTCTCTGCTGTTGTAGGAGTTAATTCTATGCCTCCTCCATGGGCCAACTGCTCTGAGATAAAAGATTGTAAAGTTGCCTCATGAAAGCAGACTGAGGTACAATGAATGATAAATGCAGAGCTAATACAAAGCACTGCCTGAAATTGCAAGGAAGCTGAAATCAGTCAGCAAAGGTGGGGCAGTGGGGGGAGGCAGTCTTGTAATATGTAAGACACTACTGTAATCTACAGGATTTAAAGGTGTATATAATGTGTTTATAATAACAGGAATACTCTCAAAATAAGTAGTAGGCATACTTTGAAAGAGGGTTGCTTCATCTTTTCTATGAACCCTGAACACTCTAAATTGGATTGCTTGAAATGTGCTGATATCTATTACTCAACATTTCACCCTGTAGTGAGCAGAATAATGCCCCCACAAAGATAGCCATAACTTAATTCCTTGGTACTGTGAATATGTTACTTTACATGGCAAAAGGGACTTTGCAGATATGATTAAAGTTAAGGACCTTGAGATGGGAGATTATCCTGGATTACCCAGGTAGGTCCCAGTTAATCATATGCTTCCTTAAAACTGAAGGATCCTTCCAAGCTGGGTTCAGAGTGAAAGGGAGGTGTTACTAGAGAACAACGATCAGAGAGATGAAACACTACTGACTTTGAAGACGAAGAAGGGCGCCATTAGGCAAAGAATGTGGCTGCCTCTCGAAGCTGGAAAAGGCAAAGGATGGATTCTCCTCTAGAGCCTCCAGAAAGGAATGTAGCGCTGCTGACACCACCTTTTAGCCCAGGTAAACCTAGTGAGATCCATGTTGGAGCTGTGATTACACAACTGTTAGATGATAGATTTGTGTTGCTTTAAGCTACAAAGTGTGTGGAAATTTGTTACAGCCGCAATAGAGAACACACACACACATATTTTTTCACAGGCTTTACACAAACATGAAATCTGACACAAAATGAAACCACCTGTCGTTACTCCAAAAGAGGCTAACAGAATCCTAACAATTGCACATGACTTATTTCTAAAAAGTTTTTCAGAAGCAAACACAGAAAATCCTGAGATAATAGATCCTTCAAAGAGGAAATAAAAGATTCAATAAGCACTTAAAAATAAAAAGCCTTGACAGATTATCAACTTCTCTCAGTGAATCCAACAGAAAACATCATTCAATTGATTTGAATTCCCCTTGCAGTTGAGTCGAAACACCCTTTATTTTAACTACTTCCCCTATTTTTTCTCCCCTTCTTCCCACAAACCTGATTTTGAAGTGTTGTTTAGATGAAGTATAATAAAGATTTATTGACATGCATGTTTTCTAGAGTTCATTGTAATGGTAAAAAAGGTTAAAATTCAAATTGCTCATTGAATATTTGCTATTGTTGAACAACACAGCATTCATTCATATTTCAGGCTTTTACATCTGACTGATTTTTTAAAAAAGGGGTAGAGTTGCAAATTTTCTTACTCACCACTTTGCAGCAAAGAGGCCAAAACCACCACATCAAACCGAGGCCCAAGAGGAGCAGTAACACCAAAATAACAATGATGGCTGCAATCCCATTAGACTAAAGCAGGCAAAACACAAAAAGTAAAGCAGTCAGCAAAGCTTAGGGTCAAACCCCAAATGCATATATTTTTAAAGAAAACACCACAAAATAACATAGAAAGCATAATAACATCAAACCAGATTTCTGCTATATTACTTTAAATTCTATAAATTCATATATATTTTATCTAATAATGTGGTGTTAAGACAGGCAATAATAAATACAAAATCTTTCAAAGTGCTGAAGATTGTTTTCAGTCTTGTGGGAATGTAGAAAAAAAATCACTATTTGGGGTTAGACAAATAGTCCCTATCTTTTGTGTCTGGGTAAGGATTGTTTTGGTTCCAAGCATGATTACCTCCAGGCAAAATTTAGGCAGAATCCTCCCAGTCTTTTTGATGATGAAACAGTACTTACTTTATATATTTAAATGATAATACAAGATGAATATAACAAATCACCAAGTGGATGACAAACCAACAAAAAACGGTCTGGTTGACAAATGGTATACACACATCAATGCAAGAATGCAGTCTCATGCATTCATTTATCAGATGATCTCTCATCAGCTCAAGTACAATCCCCATAAGAACCAACTGCTGTTCTTTCACTTCCTAACTGCTGAGCTCCTCCAGCATTAATGCACCTGCTTGGGACTCTGCCTTTAACCCCCTTCATCTAACAACAACATATTCATTTTCTAGGGCTCAGATCAAGTCACTTCCTTGGACCCTCTGGCTAGAAAATGCCCCTCCTGACTCTACAACTCATAGTTCATTATGAGTTTACAGCTATCCTTTAATCTTTAGCACTGATCACAATACAGTTAGTTAATTATGAGTTTTGTGATTATTTGTTTAATATCTCTTTTCTGCCATGATTCATTATGAGCTCTAGGAAGTCAGGGGCTATATCCAACCTACTAGCCACTTCATACTCCCAAGCATGGCATTTAAAAACTATTTACTGAGAATATGAACTCCAAAAAATAGTACTGCAAAAGACACAGATGCAAAGATACTCTGAACTTTTAGTGTAGAGATAGTTTTCAAGGGGACAAGACGTCTCTCCCAAACCCCCAGTCTCTGGGATCCCTAGTAATAATGTTTTGTTTGGTATTTTGTTTTGTTTTTGAAAGGGAAAAAATTCAGGGAAGAAAAATAAGGAGAAGGTGAGAGAGAGAGAGAGAGAAATAGAAAATTCCAGGCAAATGTCTAAGTGCTCTGTTCTTAAAGCCAAAGAAAACAATTTAGAGCATACATCAGGCTACTTAGGAAAACACCCAAAGTGCATCTTTCTACACAGAATTCTAAGTATTCATGAACAAATCATGTTACTTTCACATGCTTATTTACATTCAGCTCTAAAATCTAGGCAAATAGGAACATAACAGGAAAAGAATGTCATAGAAGTACACGGAAAACTGTGTCTCCTGTGGGAGAAATGTTGAAAAATGTACAAATTCTTGATCTGACCTTCTGATACAAGGTCTTAGAAAGATAGCCCTAGTCCGTGACTATCTATGTACAGAATTAATACAGCATACCCACCAGCTTTTCCCACATGAGACCCAGCCATAGCTCTCCTGGGGATGGCTGACTATTGAGTTGTGCTATACAACTTTCAGAGGGTGCTATGAACATATGGTTCCCCTTTTCTTAGAATTCATACCCTTTGTTCAGAAATAAGGAATTGGATAAAAATTTAGTGGTTAGTTTGTTCCTCCTACACATGTGTCATGAACAGGAAATTGAGAAAATCATGCTGACAGAATATAAAGTAGATGGGCTGGCCCTGATAGGTACTCAGAATTCTTCATTTCCCCATAAAAAATGCATCTATTAGTAGCATTGATAAAACACTATGCACCTCTAGATGCAAATACACATTTATTATGACAATATCATTCATTACCTCAACTGATTCTAAAGATTTGTCTCAAAAAAATTAAAACTAAAATATGTACTTCTTAAAGACCTAACCCTTTATCATATTTAAGCAAAACATGATGGAGAAAAAGGTAAGAGGAAGCAAAGAATTTAATGCAACCCAACCTTTTCATGTATGAATGAGACATAGCTTCTGGATGCACCAATCACAGACATTAGCTCAGTTAACTGGTTACAAATTCAGGCTTTCCCACTTCTTTTATTTTGATTGCCCAAGCCATTATCAGAGCATGGAAGACATCAGTGATGAAAGGGAAATCATTTTATTGTTCACATAACTTTATAAACAAATTAAGGAAAGGTCAAACACACAGACTTCAGTCCTGTGATAAGATACCATGCTGCAAGTTGCAGACTAAGAGTCAGAAGAGTATGAAACTAGAAATGATTACACATCGATTTTTGTTATGGTCAGAAGCTAGAGGCTTCTCACTTTTACTTAGGCACGCCTCTCTTTAAAAAGACCTCAGGTTCATAAAGCCCACGATTTAGAGAGACAAGCCTTGAATAATTATAAGTGAGAGGAGTGTGGAAGAAGAGTACAACAGAAACATGCAATGATTTTTGTTATGGTCAGAAGCTAGAGGCTTCTCACTTTTACTTAGGCATGCCTCTCTTTAAAAAGACCTCAGGTTCATAAAGCCCACTATTTAGAGATACAAGCCTTGAATAATTATAAGTGAGAGGAGTGTGGAAGAAGAGTACAACAGAAACATGCAAAAGTGGAAAATAAACTAATCTGGGGTTCTTAGAGTACCTCCCTGAGGAAGTATAAAAAGGCTGGGGCAGGGGTTAGGGGGTGGCAGAATTAGTGGCTTCTTGCAAGAGTAAGAGAAAGACCACTGTGGGTGGAGCATAGAGTTTGAGGGGACTGAGTGACACCTGAAGAGGCTGAAGAAAAGAAATCAAACACAAATTTCTGAAAAACTGTAATTATTATAGAGAGAATTGGCTATTTGTTAGATTAATGGCCATTTGGTAGATGACCTTTCAATTGACCATTTGTTGTATCCATTCTTCCAAATGACAGTTCTGAACAAGCAGCATTTTAAGATGTCTACAAAGACTTGGGTGTGAGTTAACTGAGGAGTCTGGTCTGAGCCTCAACACCCAGATGTCAGTCAAGGCTATGAAGCCAAAATTCTTTTAAGGGTTAACTGGGGACCTACCAGAACCTCAAACTTGATGTTAGGGTAGAAGGAACATATTGTCTAGTCATCCTAGATACATTAACTTTTTAAACTTTATCTGTACCAAATTTCCTTTTCTTCATAAAAAACAACCAAAAACTTTGCCAAGTATGGCTGAAATTCTAGCTAAGAAAACTATAGAAGGATAAAATCAGGGTCACTACTATACATACAAAGTAACTATTAGAAAGAGGAATCACTCAAAAGTTTCAAAGGTGCCTGAGTAGCATGTTGTAATCTATCTAGAAAGTAATTAATCATGGCAACCACATTAGAATAAAACAGGCACAGAAAAGAAAGGGGAAATGGGTTTACATGATTTTGTTTCCATGAATTTATTGTTAGGGGAAGAAAAGGTAGTCATGGAATATGTGATGATCTCATTTACAGGATTCTTTTGGAATACTCTGTATCAGGAATTAATAAACTAATAAACTATGGCCCAAGGACCAAATCCAGCCCATCTATTTTGTAAGACCCCCATGAGCTAAGAATTTTTTTTTACATAATTACATAGCTGAAAAGAAAAAATCAAAAGAATATGTTACATGAAATTCAAATTTCAGTGTATACAGTTTTATTGAACACAGCCACAGCCATTTGTTTACATAGTGTCTAAAGCTTCTTTTGCACTACGATGGTGGGGTTGAGTGGTACTGACAACGCCTTTAAGTGTTTACTATCTGGCCTTTTACAGAAAACATTTGCCAACCTCTATTCTATATAAATCAATTTAGGATCTGGCTAAAAATGGCAGACTGTACAAGTGTTCAGTCTGGAGGGAAGACAAGTGGGATCTATTCTCCAATCTGGCATTTACTAGATTGTGAAACTGGGCAAGTAATTTAACCTTTCAGAGCCTCCAAGCTCCAAGTAACCCCTTCACCAGGAACAATGTGGACTGAAGTCAGCCTTTGTTCTGCTCATCAAGGCATGCAGTCCTTTAAAGGCTGCATTCCCCTAGTAGAAGCACCTTCTAATGTTTGCATAAATGAGCACTGAAAATTGGAGGCGGCTCTCTGTTCCTCAGTTTTCTCATCTGTGAAATGAACATAATAGTAACACCTCATCTTAGGTTGTGAGTGTTAAATGAAGTCATAAAGTGCTTAGCACATGTATAATAGTGCTAAGCTCAGTGTCTGGTACTTAACACATGCTCAGAAAACAGGTTCTTGGTATTATTATTCCAAAAGGGTTAGAAGAAGAGCAGTGATTTCATTTCACTATATTTAAGTGGAGATACATTTAAGAGCTCTTCTGAGAAGAGATGAGGAGAAACAACTGCCTAAATACAAACCCTCCTCAGACTCTAATCTTAAATCTCTTAAATCTAAACCTTAGTTTCCCCACTTTTAAACTAGATACACAACTACTTTCATTTATTCATTTAGCAAATAACTTTGGAGCAGCTGCCCTGTGTAAGGAGCAGCCGTGGGAGGGGAGCAAGACATAGGCCCAGCCTACAGTGTCTCCAGGCTGGTGAGAAAGGCCCAGAAGAAAATAGAAAATTACAGTTCAGTGCCCTAAGTGCCTTGACAGGACTGAGCCATGGATGCTCTTGGAACACACCGAGGGACTTTGCCTTTCACCTAATCACCATATCTGAACATGCCTGAACGACTGAATAGCACTTAAGTCCAGGACCCAGGTATTTATCATAATATCTCTTCTCTTTTGAGTAGAGATTTAATGTACAAATCTCTCCTCTGCTCAGGTATCACATTTTATATCTATAAAATGGAAATATTACTACCACATGTCAGAGACATTTGAAGTTATATACAAAAAAATTAAATCTAATGAGAAAAAAATAATCTTCCTATGGTTATTATCAATATAATAAAGTGAATTACAGTACATTTTAACCTGTAATAATTAA